CGACTGAGTGAGGGGTGTGCCCTCGGTTGTGTCCCCGAATTGTTACTCCTGCCTGTATGAAGAGATAGTCAATATAGATTCTGCAGTTGAGGTGAAAGGCGCACCCCCATTCTGGTTTCGGTCCCAAAGCCGGAATGCCCTGTCTCCATGCCAGAAACGAAGACGGACCCCTTGCCTTCTATCCCCTGCATTCACTGGCTGAAGTGGGAGCGTAAACTACCCCAGCAGCACCAGTATGTTATCGATTACGTTGAGGGTTGGAACTCCTTGCACATCCTGCTGGAGATACAGTCCATCAAGACTGCGGCGAAGATTTCCGTGAAGGGTCTGGTCGATTGCGGAGTGACCGGAGACTTTATTGACTCGGAGTATGTGATCTCCCAGAATCTCCCTGTCCGCTGGCTCTCTCAGCCAATTCTGGTCCTCAACGTTGATGGCACACCGAATGTGTCCGGTGTCATCTCCGGCATAGTCAATGAACAATGTGCTCTGAGCTAAACCCAAACAATCCAATTATCACCCAAATATAACCCAAGTCTTTCCGATATAAGCAGCGATGCCCGCGGAAAAAAGACAAGAGTCAGAAATAGGCCAATCAGAGGAAGCAAGGGCTGAGATCCAGACGAGTGGTAGTCCCATGTACAGGGCCTAACAATAGGTTGAAGGGAAGGTATAAGATTCCCACAGAAAGATGAAACCTTCACTACAAGATATCACCTGGGATTGACCTGAGAGATAATTGAGCAATGGAAATAAGATTTTTTAAGAGCTTCGCAGCTATGAGACAAGCAAGTGTTGTGTGTTTAGTGGTGGTTTTGTCCGGAGACGCGCAAGGAACCTCCGAGAGGCGAACAATAGACTATTTCCACAAGGATATATTGCTTCTGCCTCAGCCTTGCCCTTCTTTCCCTGAGATAGATCAGATAGATGAAATAATTATTCGGCCTGTCACTACTGACCTTCTTTGCTGTTCCAGCTGCTGCCTTTGGGTCCGCTCCTGACGTATCAATGATTCGAATCGAGAACACTTTCACAACACCCTTGCCCGTCTTCTTTGCCTTACTTTCCGCAATATATCCTGTTGCCCCTTCAACCAGCTTCTTCCATGCCCTCTCATCCTCAAGCAATTTTGGAACGGGTTTTGGAGATTTGGGGAGATAGGAAGTGATGTAGGCAATACCAGAGAGTAAGGATTTCCGGGTAGACATAGCGGTTGCGAGTTGGTCCAGGAAGGTGTTGAAGTCAATGGTCGAGAGGACCTCAAGTTCGTGAGATGCGCCATTGTATGGAACCTTGAACTGTATGATAAACTTGTTTTTACGGGCCGCAGCAGCAGACAACGGTGAGCTGGTAATTACTGTATTGCTAAGTCAGCTAATAGACAGAAGAATAGGCTGGTGCTCATACTAGCATTCATTTTCTCATCGTTGTCAGAGTCCAAAGAGGATTCGCTGTTGCTGCTATCTGATGACAACTCCGAACTGCTCTGAGAGTGTTCCCCACCATCATGGTTCCCTCCAAGGTTGTGTGCCGAGACTCCAGGAACCGTGGCTGCAAAAATGTGATCCATTTTGGCCTTGAAATGGGGTCGGAGTTCTTGCGCAATGGCTGATGTCTCCCACCAAGAGACACGAGGGCAGCGGCAGCAGCAGACTCATTGACATTGTCAGGTGGCGCCTTGTCGTTTGCCGGAGGAGCTGGACCGCGTAGGTTGAGCTGACAAGGAAGAGGCGCTGACAGCGGCGGTGATTCTGGCTGCGGATTACGAGCCACTTTTGCAGTCTTCCGTGTCCCAGTGGTACACTGTGCTTTTGGCTTCTTCTTGACCTTATTCTTTAAAGTGCCCATTGCAGTTCTAAGGCTGAAGAGGATGATGAGGCACGTTTAGTTGATGCAAAAAAGTGGCTGAATTTGATGGCATGATATCCCGGGCTTGCTATACAATGAGCCAAATGCTATTGACCATGGGGTACCCTCACAGACATATAAGAGAACAACATATAAAATTTTGGTGGCTACAAATGGGGTGGTTCTTGAGTTAGAGGTGTCTCACCTATTTTTGCGGTGCCTCGAGAACGAATTTTATGTGTGAGGAACTCGAGGCGATTCTAATGGTATATGAATCTTGCGATTTGGTGCAGTGGTTGTCGAGATATGGGCCGCCGAAGATTTGACTGAAAGATGCGCAAAAGTCACGAAAAGTCACATCCACCAACTATTCTGAAAACGGCAATAATTATCAACTAAGGTGACATCCAAAGTAAATACATATTTGTAGTAAGTATGGAGATAGGCCGGATGCAGTCGGAGAAGTAAGTAAAGACAATAGGAATAAGTGAAGACAATAAAGACAATAATGAAAACATGTGGAGCACAAGTCATATGATTGAAGAAGGGGAAACACTCAGTAAATCATCATTGCGTAAAAACCCCAAAGGTGTGCATTGACAGCTAAGGCCATGCAACAGCGAGTGAGACAGATGCGAGCTGGAGTATGGATGACACATCTGGACAGAAGGTAGGTCGGATCCGAGGATCCGGACAAGGCCGGATGGGGTTGGATGTGTACGGGCGTAACAGGTATGGACCAGAAGACACCTTGGAAGCACTGGAACACTTGGGGAATCCACGGAGTGTCTCGAAGAGTTCTGTGAGAAATACCTGATTGCCCTGAAAGAGACGGCTTAACATTGTAAATGGGTCATCCCTGGCGAAGACTTATGGGCGAAAAAACAGTAACAGACATGAAACCCAAGGCAGTTTTCACCTAGAGGGGGGGGGGCATGTCATGAACCAACTTTTCATTTACTTTTAGAACCCAAACAACCCAATCATTAATCAAATTAACTATCTGATCAATCGAACTACAAGCTCCCTTGTGGGACTATGATCAGTTTCCTGTCCCACCAGGTTCCCAATCATCCCCTCAATTACCCCTGCACTTATCTTTCATTTACCCTATCTACTTTGATATAACTTGGTACCTTAGTTATGACCCCTAGGGTCTCTAGTATAAAAGGCAGCTGACACCAGGGGCAAAACCCGAGGAATATGGAATCCATATGCCTTACAGGCATGTCCTTCACATGTGGTTGATCCGTAGGACAAAGGTGTCAATTACCTTTGTTCCATGGATCACCCACATGCGAAAGACATGCCTGTAAGGCATATGGATTCCATATGCCTAGTGTTGGGCACGAGTACAGGTTCGGGTATAAAACAGTCAACCCAGACCCGGACCCGGAGAACCTGAACCCGAACCCGGGTTCACGGGTTGTCCACGGGTTGTCCGAATTGATCGGATCACATATGCCACAGCCTCCCGAAAAGGTTCAACACCTTCAAAACATTAAATATGTCCACCAATTGAGGTTTTTAAATGCATCAAGTGGTTGATGACAGGTTGGGAGTACCATTGAGAGCCTGTAGCCATGTTCAACTGCCTTAAAATGAGCTAAATTCCATAATAAATTTAATGTTAGCAGACCTGCGGTGTACCCGAGGGTTTTCGGGTCCACTAAAACCGGAACCCGTACCCGTACCCGGGCCGACCCGACCCGGAAACCCGCCAGGTTGACCTGTACCCATGCCCAACCCTACATATGCCTGGGCTTTTGCCCCCAGTGTGAGTCTGTGACAATGGCACTCCATCAGACTCTCATTTTGCTGTGCTAGGAATGAGAGAGACCTAATTGGGCTGTACATATTCCCAACCTCCACCTGATGGCCTAAATTTCTCTGTTATGTGAGATTATTGGATGTAGCTCTGTGATAGTACATACCTCAAATCTGACAAAAAAAACCACCTGACACCAAGGGGGCGCAGTAATAAAATTCCTGGAACCTTTAGGTTACAGGTCTCCCAGAAGTCTTTTGAAGATTTTGTCCCGATATGGATATTGATACTTTGCTTATAAGGAGTGATGACCCAGTGCCATGCACGGCCATGGTAGCAATTCTGCTCCCAAAACCAGTGCCCTAAACTCAACCTAAGAATTCCTACTGGGATCAGCGGTTCCAGGCGAATTTTGAATGACCGGCCCTCCATTTTGTCAAAATTGGTTGAATTCAGGTCCAGAGGTTTGAGGACCCACTCACCCCCTGAATTAGGAAGTTATTTGAATTTATTGCAACTAGACATTGCTGGAGCGTAATGTTCTATGGAATGCATGGTGTGTCAATGAAGCATCTGCATTTCATTGTATACTCTGAATAGGGAAGCTTTCCTATAATTTACGACCTATCCCTGCATAAGAAATTTATTTCACCATTGGTTGAGGCACTATAGCCAAAGATGACCAAGCTCATATTCTATAAACGGAAGGCGTTAAGCCTGGAGTACAACCAAACCAAAGGAGACGTGGTTGGAAGAGATAAAGGATGTTTGGAAGCAATAGAACATATTCTGAGCACTTTTTAAATTCACATGAGCCCATTTGGACCCAATTTGGGACCTGCCCCCAGTCCTCCCCTTGACTGGCCTGAACCCCCTTGACTAGTCGCTTCTCTTGCCAACTTGTTTCCAAAACCACGTTGGGAAATGGATTACTTCTTTTGATCATCACTTTTTCTCTTGATTTGCTCACCAAGGCCAATTCCCGAAACAGACATGGTGGTATAGAAAAGGCAAGGTAAAAGCGATTTTTAATTTAAAAGGAAGTACATAGGTGACGGTGATTAGAGGAGGTGGAATTCACTCACAAGTGAGGATGTGCAGTGATGATGTGCTGGAGGAATGGTATGCAACTCAAGCACCAATGGGGTAGTGGTAACCTGGGTAGCTGCAATAATGATCAAATGCACTGGGGGAATTAACCCCTTAATGCATGAGACTTTCATCTTCCCTTTTTGTTCTGGATTCAATCTCAAATGATGGTGCTACAATGGCAAAATGCATTTTATTTTATTTAAAAGGTTCTCAGAAGGTGGAGGATTCCGAGATAGCATGATTTGCACACCAGTGAGGATAGTAGGAGGAACGAAAACTTGTGGATCCCCATGCATTAATGGGGTAGTGGTAACCTGGGTTGTTGCCATGTTGGAGAGCCTGAGTTCTCAACCCGCCGGGGGTTCGATTCGTCCTTAATGCACCAACATCCATTGTTCTTTTTTGTTTGGGTATCGCTTGATTCGGTTTTCAGCAAAACTCTAAAAACAGGAACAGGAGGAAACAGCAAAAAAGGTGGCATTTAAATTTGATTCAAGTGAAAGTAACAGCTGAAGAAAATGTCAAGAGGCCGGGCAGTATGTCAGGCATTAATGGGGTAGTGGTAACCTGGGTCGTTGCCATATCGTGTACCATGTTGTATTCGACCCGCCGGGGGTTCGATTCCCCCTTAATGCATTGTCTTTTCTGAGAAGCGTTTTTTTTCGATTTGATTCGTTCGGGCCCAACAGGACGCTAATAAGAATGAGTTGTAGGGTCACGCTGGGTGGTACACAAAGGAGGAAAGGCAAAATGCATTGAAAGGCACTACGTAGGCGACAGTATGGAGGCGGTCATATTTGCGGATATACTTGGATTTGAATATGTTTTGTTTGGGCAGGACCTAAGAAGTCAACGGGATTTTCACTGGCGATGGCCCGTTGAGGGGGGATGATGCGTTGTAAATCGCCAACAGGATATATATTTATGCGCGCGAGCAGAAATGGAAACTCGTAGACGGAGATACCACATTCGTCGACGGATCAGGCGTGTGTCGTACGCGAAAACTCAGGTGAGAGGAGTAAAAGGGGATTCGAATGAATTAGACGTCTGCAGATCCCCTCACAATTCCGCATGCAGCCTGATAGCTTGATAGGTACGTATGCGAATTTGCACATTCGCCCGAAGTCGGACCAATGGCGATCATGGTCTCGCGTCTCGCGTCTCGTCCCTCTCTTCCCTTGCCGCCCTCCGCTATGCTGAGATGAGATTCGAGAACAAGTGGTGAAACGGCAGGTGGAGCTGGCACGTGCGTTCCCCGAGTCATGCGGAGTATTTGTTGTATATTTGGGTGTGCTTGGCTGGAGGGCGGTCGCATTGCTTGGCTCGCCTCGACAAATCGCCTTTTGTTTTGTCGCCGTCTTGTCATTGATCGTACCGCCAAGTCTACAACGAAGCTCAAGACAAGAAGACCAAGCAAGTCGCATTTGGACACTGGGCTGCGTGCCGGATAGAACAACAGGAAGGAATACAAGAAATACAAGACTCGGAACACGCGGACTAGGATAGACCGGGGAAGCAAAAGGAAGGAAAAGGACTTATTCAACAAGCATTTACGAAGGATTTACTCGGAGCGTGGCGCAGCAATAACTAGCTGCATGGCGCCTCGCACGAAGGCGATTTCTGACGGCAACGAGGCTTCTGGGACAGACACGAGGAGCACCAGCCCGCGTCGCCGCAGCGCGCGATTCGCACTCTCTGCGCCGAGTGCGCCGGTTGCGAGTACGTCGCGCGTGCATGTGCATGGCTCGACAAGCGCCCCGGTGACGCCTGCTATCCAGCGCATCCTGCGCCCGGCGTCGGCGAGGAGGCTTTCTGCGAAGGCGCAGGCGGGGACTCATGCGGTGGACGACTTGGAGGCAGCGGATGCGGTGGGGACGCCGACGCCGAGGGAGAAGAAGCGCAAGAGCCCGGATCTACATGACGAAGGCGTGGGGGTGCGCAGCAAGCGCGCGAGGGTGCGGTGTCCGGCTGAGGTGTGTGTCGCTTTCGTTTTTGTTTGCGTTTCCTTTTCGTGGGTCATTTTGGGTCGGTGCTTGCGTTTTTATACCCCGGGTGTCAGTTTTATGGGGGAGGCGATGCGATGCGGGGTGGAACGACCGACAGGGGTATCGAGGTCTGTGCCATGCCGTGCCAAGTGCGCATGTGTCCCTGCAGCGAACCGGCCTTCTATTGCCAGTGGAGGAAAGGGGCATTGGGTATTCGGTGCTGCCGCCGCGCATCCGTGCCTGCCTGCAATATTTCCTGGGCTCCTATGCGTGCGAGGATGATGTATGGCGTAGCGCCCGTGCCCGTCATTTCATTTCATGTCCTTCTTTTGCCTTTCTGCCATGTGGGCGGGCGCCTAAGCGTCTGACGCTGGCCTTGCTTGTGCCTATTTTATCGATTTTTATCGATTTTTGCTTTTCGTGCGGGGGCGGGCGGGGGCGGGCGCTTATGCGTCTTCTGACTCGAGTGGAGCGGGAGCGCCACACCGCTCATCCCTTCCCTCTGTTTTCATTCATTGTTTCATTCACTTCCTTTGCTTTCCGTCTTTATCTCCGCCTTTTCCCACTTACTAATACTAATCCTATTACCTCCCCAGCCCGCCCCGTCCCCGCCGTCGTCGACACGCAAAGGCAAAGGCAAGGCGCCCTCGCCCTTGTCTGCCTCGTCTACATCCCCCGGCCCCGCGCCTCTCTCTGCGCGGCATCATTCCCCTCCAGACGCAGCACACCCTCACCCCCCGACGCCGACACCAACGCATAGATCGAGGCTAAAAAGCACAAAAAATACCCACGGCGCGCCGCGGACGACGCGCGTGACGCGGCTGACGGCGAGGCAGATGGCGATGCAGGGGGTGTTTCCGGCGGTACGTGCTTCTTCTTTCGTATCGTACTATACCAATACTAACTACTATTCATTTCAGACGCCCGTTCCCGCTCCCTCCACATCCACATCCGCCGCCTCGTCCTCCGCTACCGACGCGAACGACGCGAACACCGCGAACCCGATGACGCTGCGCAGCGCCACGCCCGCGCACCCCCCGCCCAATGCGCACCGCAAGGGCCGCGCGCCGCACGTGCGGGGATCGAGTCCCGCGCCGGGGCGGCTGGACGAGATCGATATGGGGGTGGCGATTCCGGGGGGGAAGTCTGCGCCGCCGTCGCCGGGGCAGGGGCACACGTCGCCGAAGATAGGAGCGCCGCCGTCGCTGCAGGGGAAGCCGAAGTTGGGCCTTGCGACGATGAATGGAAGAGGGGGTGGGGGTGGGAGTGGGATGGGAGTGGGCGAGTCGCCGCTGAGCAGCCCGCTAACGAGTCCGGTGTGGGAGCGCGGGGAGGTACTGGCGCAGTGGGATGTGCTGGGGAAGAGGGGGGAGGTGTTGGTGAAGAGGGAGCCGATGGAGGGGGTGCTGCCGCCGCCGCCGGCGCGAGAAGGAGAGGGAGAGGGAGAGGCCAAGGATGGTGCGGCGGGCGCTGGCGCTGGCGCTGATGTGGCTGTGGAGGGGACGGGTGCGGAGGATGAGGATGGGAGCGGGGACGTCGAGATGCCTTTATCGGCGTCGGCAGACGAGGAGGGTGAGCTCGTCGTTATTTCATTCGATTATGATGCTAAAGGAAGGATTTTTGCAGGACGAGCCCAGACCCAGACGCATACGCGGGATGGGACGCCGATGGACGAGGACGAGTCTACGGCTGCAAGTATAAGTACAGGTACAACGGCTACGACGGAAACGACCGCCTCGTCAGCATTTGTGCCCTCGACCTCGCCCCCCTCCACTGCTCCTCCCGCGACGATATCGACGACCTCGAGCGCGACTCCGACACCCGCGATCCGCACCAATGGCACGAAATCGACCAGCCCGCGCGCGTCGCTCTCGCCCGACGACTTCGCGCCGTCGCCGTTCGCACCGGCGTTTGCGGAGCTCAGTCCACTTTCGACGACCCCACCGGGGTCTCCCCCGCGAACGCTTTCGCTTTCCGGGCCCGCTTCTGGCTCGGGGTCTGCGTCGCCACCCCACCCGCCGCCGGCGCACCTCCTAGCCTCACCGTCGACATCGGGTCTCGACCAAGACGCCGCCGCCCCGTTGAGCGACGTCTCCCCCCTGCCGCTCGAAGACCTCGACGCGCTCGCGCTCCTCGATGCGAGCGGGATCGCGCCTGGGCCGCCGGTGTCGCCGGATTGGCCCCTGCCTAGAGCGAGGCCGCTGGCGACGTTGCCCGTGGAGACGGGGTCGGCGGGATATGGATTTGCGTTGCCATTTGGGTCGGGATCGGGATCGGGATCCGGGTACGGCGCTGGCGAGACGTCAATGTACGCGTCTGGATCTGGCTCTGGCTCCGGGTCGGGGCAAGCACCACTCTCTTCTATAGGATTCCAGCCACAGCAACAGCAGCAGCCCCACCCTTCCTTCGCTTACGCGTCTACCTCTACCGCCTCGCCCTTCGCTTCCTCCTACAGCCCCAGCTCTCAAGCAGGAGTAGGAGTAGGTTTCGGCGCGGCGCAGGTCCCGACTCCCGCGGAGCGACACTCGCGCGCGGTGGAGTGGGCGGCACTGCTCGAGCGGCGGCGGCGCGCGGGGGAGCGGGCGCTGGCGGACGAGCGGGAGGCGGAGGAGCGGAGAAGGGCGGGGGAGCGGTGGGTGGGGGAGTGGGGTGTGCCGGTGGGGAGGGGCGTGCGGGTTTGGTGGGTGAGAAGCGCGGGGGTGGCTTCGACAAGGGAGGATGTCGCCGACGCGGGTGCAGCGACTGGGGGAGGCAATGCTGAGAATGCAGGGGTGGGTGGGGATGTGGAGATGCCACATCAAGGAGCCGGGCACGACCACGCTCAAGCACACGCACAAGCCCAGGCAGCTGGGGACGACGCGCCCGGCGGGTACGCCCCCGAGGACGCGTACGCGGAGGAGGAGTACGGCCGGATGAGGCGGCGGAGCCCGCTTTGTATCGTGTCGAATGTGCCCCCAGCGGTGTCTGCCCCGTCGCCGCTTGTGCTCGACGCTCCTCCCGCGTCCGCGACTGCCGCCTCTACATCGGCCTCCCTCTCCACGAACGAGACTCCCTCTCAAACCTCCCAAGCGCACGAGGCGCAGGGACAGCACGTAGACGCCCAGCACGCGCAGGATCCCCGCCAAGAGAACGATGAACAGCAGCAGCACCACGAGGAGAACGCGGACGGGAGCCAGCGCACGGACCTCGTATACGAAGTCGCGCCCCAGCTGCGCAAACAGGATGACGATCTGGGCCCTGACCCCGCGACGCGGGTGAGCACGACGTGGGGGCCGTGGAAGATTGCGTGTCGGATGCGGGTGTGGGATGTGTGAGTTTCTTCCTTCTGTGTTTATATGGTTTTGCAATGGCGTTATTCTGGGCTCGGTTTCTTTTGGTGTGGCGAGATTCGTTCTCGGCTTCCATTCCAGTCCATTGATCCCCTTTGATTCATTCCTGTGGTTCTTTTTGGTGTGTGTGTGTAGGCGCGATCGCGTTTGCGTGTCTGTGGCGTGATGTATTTTTTTTCGAGATTAATGCTGATCATCGCAATTTGCAGTCGCCAACGCTATACGCCGTCTCTGATCCGCTCGCTCGTCGCACAGGAAGCGGACGACTACTTCTCGACGCGCGGCCTCCCGCACCCCGACTCGCAGTTCTTTATGGGCGAGG